AAATTAGTTAAAAGCTCTTCATTAGAAGAAATGAAATAATTAAATCGATTCCAAAAAACCTAAGGACTTTTAAGGACTGTATGATACCTGACAAACTTGCCTAATATAAAAACTCTTCAATTAATTAATGTTTAATTATTTACATGCATGCATACCAAAAATGTGAACATCTAAATTAAGGAGAATGTCATGATAGATAACGAATGAGTAATTTTTAAAAAGTTGCAAAATAAGCCCAGTGGAAAACTCAATGTAAAATATGCAGTCCTGAAAGTATTTTATTTTAAAGTAAAATATGAGATAAAACCTTCAACTTTTTATTGGTAGTAAAAAATCCATACATAGCTATGATTTATATGGGAGATCAAACAATTCTAAAAAAAGTAAGAGTGATGGAATTTTTTATGTGTCATAAAAAAAATTCTTACACTGGTATTTCTTAAATGAATTATAGTATTAAATTAAATCAATAATCAATATATCTGAATTTTTTGACTTTTCATCAGACAGCTAAACTGATGATTATACTATTGTAGTAAAGTCTAATTGAGTTCTGCTTCCCTAAAAAGGATGAAGAAAAATAATACTAAATCAATAAATTCAAAAACCATTCGTCTCAGTTTTTTTTTATCAACATTTCGATTGTTTTTGTTTCATTCTTTATATACAAACACATACTTTATAAGCATATAATACATCGAAATGCAAACCGTGAAACAAATTGCATGTCAAATGTTAAAGTGTTAAATATTTATCCCAAAGATGGTTTTTAAGTACAAATCTTCATTATTGGAGATGTGTCATTTAAAATTGGCATGAAGATTTGCTTAAAAGTGAAAAACTACCAAAAAAAGGAAGCATCAGATTCCAATCTATTATAAAAAGTTTTGCAGTGTATTCCAAGCAAATTTGTGATATTCTGCAAGGAAAAAAATTACATTGATAATATCCCAAAATAAAATTTCTAATACTGGAAATTATTAACTATTGGGGTTATTTATGATTTATTGCACATTTTTAAACTGATTTTTATAAGTACATTCTTTTTTAAATATATTTGTGCATTTAAAATATGGTAATATTAATTTCCTTTGTGTGCTTTTTCAACTCTATGGATTTAACGAACTTCCATTTTAACAATTTAAAATGCTAAAAGAGGGAGGGAGGGGAAAAACCTCAAGTATTTTGTAACTGCGGATGGGCATTATTTTCTTTTGATGAAACTAAAAGTTTAAAAATGAGAGTTTTAAAGTTTAGGTATAGCATTAAAAATTAGATTAATTTTAAAAGCATATTCAAAGACAAGTAATTTTCCTTTTCTTTTTCCCCCCACCAATGAATATTGGCCTGACTATCAGTCTACCTGAAAAAGGGAAACTATGTTTGTTCCGAAATTTCTCTAATCAGATGATAAACCCTAACCAAGGCCAGCACCAGAATCGGTGGTTGTGCTGGATGGCAGAATTTTTAGAATTTACAGAAGGATCAAGCAGCAAAACTTAGAGACGGCAAAACTTTTAGAATTCAAGGAAGTTACTGTGCAACAGAATTTAGGGAGGCAATGGATAAAGATTGCACCAGGCGGTAATGTGTCTAGCACCAGCCCTGACCATGCATGATTTTTTATAAAGTTCACACTGTCTGCTTAATTTCAAAAACAAACTTTATTTAAAATCATCAGCTAGATTTATTGCTGAATGATCAAAGTACAGACTAAATACATGTGTGCAAGATTATGAATGGTAGCAGTTTTGAATACAATCAAAAGTCGTTAATTCGGAATGATCTATAATTCGGACCTCAAAACTAAAAACTTTCTGCGCATGCGCCGCGACATGCGCATAGGCGTTTATGCGTGCGCGTAAGACCTTTTACCACTGTGCATATGTGTGTGCGCAAGCGCAGAATACGTTTTCGCGTGCGTGTTCTATGTATAACGGATGGTATAAGCTAAAATTATCTAATTATCTATTTCAGTTAATGTTGATGATTGCGTTGTTCCTTAATTTTCGAATTGGATCCGGCTTATTATTTTTTTGCAGACTGTAAGAGCAATACTATAAAAGTAAACTTTCGATTATGTCAAATAGAATTTCCGATTCTGGAGCTCCCAAAGGATCATACAAAACGAAAGTATGTTTCGATGTCCATCAAACAAAATGTGGAATTGCTGCAAAAAATGGATAAAGACATGAAGAATGTGACAGATAGGTTAGTGAAAACGAAAAAATTTCGATTGACAAGTTAGTCGGTATTCTCGGCACAAAAATTAACGGGACTTGGAACAGCGGAACTTTGTAACTGAACAAGAAACTGTGTCTGTTTATAGAATTAAAGAGAAAGTATTATCACATAAAACAAAGCAACTTAAAACAACTTACACTGAAAGAAATGTTTAATAAAGTAAACAAATATTAAGCTTTTTTTTTTTTGTAAATTTTGATACCCTTTAGATTATAATTGTTCTTTATTGCATAAATTAAGGTTTCATATTTTTAATTTTAGAATTTCTGCATGCCATCTTACAAGATTTAAACTGATGATCTATAATCCGGAAAAATCGATAATCCGGAATCGCCGAAGTCCCGACGAGTCCGGATTAACGACTTTTGACTGTATTAAGAATCTTCATGATAAGAATCTCCAATATATGTGTTTTAATGGATGTACTGAAACAGTTTGAAAGGTACTCCCAAGGTAAGAATATAATGGCTTTCTGCAAAGCAAATTTAGATCTTTGAATAGTTCAAAAGAGGCAATCAAAATATAGTAATTGCAGTCAACAACTGGCAATCAATATTAATTTGAAGACATAATCTGTAAATGAAAGCTATCAGAAGAGGAAAAGTTTTGGTTGTTCACATGGCTGATGTTCAAGCATTTGTTCTTAAAATGCCATCACTGCTACACATATCCCCTGAATTCAAAGTATTGCAATACTGGATGGATGGTTTTCTTCAGAGATATGAACTGTTTCTAAGAAGATTGACAGCACTATTCAAACGGGAAGATACTGCAATTATTAAGTGTGCAATAACATTAGCAACTTTTTTAAATACCACTTCTCAAATATGATTGTTATTTATGAAACTAAAGTGTTCAGGGGCCAAAGATCTCAAATGACAATTGACCAGAGGGATGTACTGTTAATTTATATTTTCACTGTTTATGAAAGTGTACACTATTTTCATTTTGTCAGTTCATCTAGATGAAAAGAAAGGCTTACTTCTGATCTTAACTAAGGACAAGATTGAGCTTGTTTCAGGCATTCACATTCTTCAAACCAAAAAAGTACACAAAAGCAAGTTATAAGAAAGCAGATGCATTTAATGCTATCATTTATTTATAAGAGATAGTGAAAGAGTTCTGCTTGTTTATGACAATATTTAATCACTAAGACATAAAGGATATTCAGACAATATTTAACCCACTAAGACATAAAGGATATCTTCACAGAAAGAGATTAAATAATGATTCTGATAGAAATGACAGCCTATCCGAAGACTTATATTGGAGTAAACAAACCATTCATGGCCACTTGCATATGGAAAACAATGATTACATTGAACATAGAATTGAATTCCAATAAACAACCATTCAGGAGCCATTTATGCATAGAAACCCATGATTATACTTAACATAGAATGGGAAGAAATAATCATGGGTACTTTGCAAAGCACTGCATACAAGGGTGTCTTGGGTGAAGAATTCATGTGATAAAATCATTGACAGCTGAATTCTGAATACACTAAGAGCTGACTAAAGAAGCAAGAATTGCTTATTCAAGGAAAGCTTTATTGCTAGAATTTAGGGGCACGTTTTTTACAGGAAATGGAATTTTAAAAAAAAAATTGAAATTGAAATTTGAGGTTTGGAACTTTATGACAATGTTCCAGGAGATCCCCTGAAAAAATGCCCTACTTTGTCTTTAGAGTAAAAATTAATACCAAGTAAGACCAAATGTTATTTTTGAGGAAGCATGGTACTATCCAAATGGCCCTACCATAATTAGTTTAGATAAATGCATTTCTTGGATACCACATATTGACGATTAAAATGAAATATTTAAAACTTAATTATATTACTTATATCTACTTATTATTACCAGTTAGTACACTGTATTATGCACAAAGAACATATACTAGTGGGTCTATAGTGAAAATTTCACACTCAGTTTAAAGAAAAAAAAAATTGCTTCCATAACAACAGATGATCAATCTAATGCTTTTTCTTCTTCTTGTTAATTTGTATCACCAAACCAAAGTATTTAATAAAAATGAAAATTTGTTATGATTCCTCACTAGCTGAAATTATTCCTCACTAGCTATTCAGTGCCCAAACAAAATCCCATATTTTATATATATATATATATTTTTAGATTCAAGCATGATAAAAATTTGACAAATATAACACACTTATGACAGCTTTGATTTCTGTTACCTCAGTTGAACATGCATCACTTTGGCATACAATTTTTTCTTACTTTTTTTAATTGATTAGAGCAGCAGATAAGCTATAAAATTATATAAATTAGTCTAACCTATTATTATCTATATGACACTATTATTATATTCGAAACTTTAATACCAAATTTATTTTAATCTAATCTAGAAAACTGCATGCATTAAGGGGATAAAATATGAAAACTTTTTAAAAAAATTCAAATATGATAAGTTTATATGAAATCAGCTACTAATTATCATTATCAGAAATTTTTTTTTGGTGGGGGGCACTAGTTACAAAACCTATCTTTTAGAATAATGTATGTTTATTCAACATCGGAACAAAAGATGAATGGCATTTTTCCATAATGCAATTCTATCCCATGTAATACAGCTATGGTATATTATTTTTTAAATAATACATTACTCTTATTCATTATGAATTTAATATATTAATTAGTGCTTGATTACAACACAGATTATAATTTGTACTACTTTTATATATTTTGGAACAATGATACATTATTAACAACCCATTAAAGATGTTTATTGAGCTACCTTTGTAAAGAACTTCTGCGAAGGCTACCAGTTGTTTTCTGTGAAATATTTTGTTGAAATGAAGGCCATGCATCTTGGACTCCTTGTGGATGCCTTGGCACATTCTTTGGAGAGCATGAAAGAGGAGGAGAGGCTGATGAAACACTATTTCCAGACAATAAATGAGGAGACGTAGCTTCACTGTTTGAACGCATTACAGGCATATTTACAATTGGAATAGGACTAGAGCTACGACGTGAAGGAAGTTTTGGAGATCCAGATGGATGTAATGGGCTTCCACTTCTGGATCTCCTATGAGGTACAGGAGGTGTATTGGGAGGAGTTCTTGGGGGTGTAGCAGCATTGCCATTTGCTCTGCTTTCTCCTATTGCTTTTACAAGTTCTTTGACTGAAACACTTTGAAGTTCTGGAGGAATATCTTTTGATACAGAAATTCGGTGAAGATCAGAATTAGTTTTATGACTAGATTCCTCTTTTAACCACCTTTGGAGAGCAGCAACACGTCCACTACTGTTACCACTAGAGTTCTTTGTAAGATTATCTGATTCAGTTTTTTCTGATTCTATAAGTGTCTGCATAGAAACAGAAGGAGTTGAAACTAAAAATAGAAAGGAAATAATTTTTGATTAGATTACTATATACATTTTAAAATAACAGAGTATGAATTAATAAAATAATAAAGCATACCTGGTGATCCAAACACAAATGGGCTTGTAGAACCAGAAGATCCTCCTTCATGATCTGAAGTACCACTTCCAAATGTAAAAATTCCTAAAGATTAAATATAATCAATAGAAAATATTAGATACAAAAATATTTCACTTACCTTTACATTTCCTTCCTTACCAGCCTTTTAAAATGTATAACAATTTAATTAACAATATTGTTTTAAAATTACTCAAACCATTCAAACCTGCCATTTTCCTTAATAAATTATCATTCTTCTAATAATTTATAAATAATTTTTTTTAAAAATGCAAGAGAAACAGTTCACCAATATAACATTTTAAGACTTATTTCTATCAAAAACATATCAACTTAAAACTGTTATGTATGGCTAATCATATTGCACAAATTATACTAAAACTTCTCCCTTTTCATTATTTATACTAAAAATAAATATAATTTATTAATAAAAAATAACATACCCATTGATTGACCAAAGGAGCCAAAAGTCTGCCCTGAAACGGCAGAAGCAAAATCAAAGCCTCTTCCACCTGGACCGTTTGAGCCAAATATTGAGCCCTGCTCCGAAGAAAATTTAGCATTACTATGACTTCTATCTTCATCACTTTCTATATTATGTATTGCATCCATCTCATGTTGTAAATACATAATATCTGGAAGACTACGAACAAGTGTCCAAGCTTCACCATCCATATTAAAACAATATCGTTGCTTACTTTCCTTATCCAGTTTTACCCACATGCCATCAGAATTGGTTACCTTGAGGAAAAAAAAAAAAAAAAAAAAAAAATATATATATATATATTATATATATAGTATATATATATTCCAGTATAAAAATTAAACTTATAACTAATAAGATTGCATATTACATTAAAATATTTGCCAAGGATAACAAAATTACTTTTATTGTTCTATTAATTTACTCTTCTTAAGCACGCCTAGAATATTCACACAGTTGTCTTTTAACGATAGTATATATATATTAACACTCCATCGGGCGCATTGACCTGACAGATACAGGCGTGTCAAAATCTCTGTTTTTGTCCCCTTAAACTTCTTATCACGACCTTGACCTTATCAGTATCTGTCCATCTGGCCACTCCCTCCTTTTGAATGCAGTAATGACCAGTTCAGTGTAGGAGTATTTCCTGTTTTTAAGCTTATTTGAAAATCTGTATCTGTCAGATACATGCGCCCGATAACGTTTGTTTCCTGAAGCTTTATGGAAGTATCGAGATTTCTTATAGATTTTTAATTTATTTTCCCCATGATAAGTGCTAAACGCTTTTTAGATTTGAATAATCAAAAAGACCTTGAACTAGTCCCATAAATTGTTAGGGATTTGGGATGGGAATGAGGATAGCTGAAGAATGCTGATGATGAAAATGATGATGAATTGAATGAAAAATTTTGAAACATCTGAAGTGGATCTTAAAACATCTGAAGTGGATTCTGAGAGTATTGAAAGTGATTATAATGACTCAGAACTTAATGATGATGCTAACAATGGTGATTTTATTGCAAAAGCTCTAAACGGGCAAAATCGCTGGGAAGAAAAAACTGTCAGTTTAGATCACCAGAATAAATTACTGGAGTATCAAATATGAAATTCAAATGAATTTACTCGGAATATTTTTAAAGTATTTTTAACTTGCTTTGCTTTTTTTTTTTTTTTTTTGATGAAATATTGGAAATAATGTGAAATACACTAAAAATACATTTCTATACTTTCTGATCTATTTAGTAGAGAAAGAGATGCAAGACTAACAGATATCATTGAAATAAAATAAAGCATTAAGTTTTATAGGTTTACTTTTTTTTTAGCGAAGTAAACTGCCGTTTTTGCGAAAGTGTCTAGATGGAAGGTATTTGGAGGTAATTGAGGAATAAGCAAAGGGTTTTGAAGATGCTTGTTCTTAATATTTCATAGATGATAAGGTTCATCTGGAGAAGAAAGAATAAATCTGTGGTCTATGATAGAAATGATGAGAGTTTGTAATTTGTTATTCGAAGGAACCATTTCATAATAATTTAACGTGGGAGGTTAATGTTAATTGGTGGAAGTGACTAGGTTGTGGTTATTTAATGTTCTTAGCATAATTATTTGGGTTTCATTTATCTTTATTAATTGAGACAATTTTAATGAGTCAAGCAATGTCTAAGTGAGCATTTAAATTGAGTTTAATTTTTTTGATTAAATTTTAAGTGCAGGTAGATTCCGAGATAAAAGGGGAATATTGAACATTTTTCAAGAAGCGGTAATGACCGAAAGAAAGAAATAAAAAAAGGAAAAGAAAGAAAAAGAACAGAGGAACAAAGAGAAAATAAAAAGATAAATTGCCCTTGTTTTTGAGGGAATCGAAAAAAGAATAATTAAATTTTTTTGTTTCAAGTAAATAAAAACTTTGTTTTATTACTTATGTCGGAGATAATGAAAACCGTTTGTTTTTATATAAAATATGCTTGTGTTTGAAATGCTAAGAAAAACAATGTTATTTGCATTTAAAAGTACAATCTAGAGGCAAGATTGCAGCCTTATTTTTTTGACTCAATCAGAGGCGCTACAAGACCAGAAGTATAATGGTGATAGCTTTTATTGTTGTTCTTACAGCAGAAGCGGAAAGGACAAAAATCTGTTTTGCTGAAAATTAACTAACAAATTGATAAGCAAACATCTAATCGTGATAATGCACATTGCGTTATCCTAAACGGACATAAATAATAGCTATTATTCGCTTTATATTCCTTTTAATGTAGAGCGTGACTAGGCTTGTCCATAAATTTCCAGTTATTGATTTTTTCAAAGCGTTGCATGGCGTAGCCATGAATTTAATCGCAAATGAATTTCCATTCAGTATAAAAGCAGTAATTTAATCGATGTTTGAAGCAGTAGTTTGCCTAACTTCATCAATATTTTACAATAGACCCTTAATCTATCAATTCGTCATACCACTAGCCTTCAATGTGTTTTATTTTTTGCCTGTATATTGATTTTCAATCTCAATGGAACCCGATACTTTGTCATGCTGCATCATTGACCTCATAAGCGAACATCTGCCATGCTGTGCTTCTAACAATTTCACAGAAGTCTTTAATCGTAATGGCTTTAGATCATATTTCTCTTTGAAAAGCTACATTTAAAATTCGATATGTCAATATTAAGCAAACTGTTGATTACCTTTTGTGTAATGTTTTACAATTTCTGCCTTATCTTATTTCAGTTAGTTAGATCATAATATAATTATTCCGGATTTTATATATTTTACCCTCATATTATTATTTTTACAGACAGTTCTTTTATTCTAATCTTATAAACAAAACTGAAATCCTCATCTAGAATTTCCAACACGAGCTGTATTTGAAATCTGGATTTTATTGTAATCAATTTCAAATGAACTTATAATATGCTACTAAAACATCATAAAGGATTTCAAGTTGAAAACAATTTCTAAACTGGACAACAATTTCTAAATATTAATAGAAAAAATGGTAGGTCCAATAGATTTAAATCTAATTTATAAAGCAATACACTTAACTCTGTTGCAATTTTCTAATTTCGACTATGCGTAATGTATGCTTTATGCATGTGCGTGTTGAAAGAAATGTTTAATAAAGTAAACAAATAAATATTAACCTTTTTTTTTTTGTAAATTTTGATACCCTTTAGATCATAATTTCTCTTTATTTTATAAATTACGGTTTCATATTTTTAATTTTATAATTTCTGCATGCCATCTTACCAGATTTAAACTGATGATCTATAATCCGGAATCACTGAAGTCCTAACGAGTCTGGATTAAAGACTTTTGACTGTATTTGAAAATACTGGTGAAGGATTTAGTCAATGAAGAAGTTGTTAGGTGCATGACTAAAACCAATTTATCGAAGGATTTGCAAATGAAACTTCAAAGTTACAGACTAACTGCTGAAGAAGGAGAAAAAGCAAAGGTTCCCAATAACCAAAATAAATGCAAAAGGTGCTCTACATGTCAAACAAATAAGAAAAGTAGATTGACCCAATATTTCTGCATAAAATTTTTGTTTGGAACATGCAGAATGATGCGTCAAGAATGTTCAAATAAAAACCAAACGTAAATTTAGAATCGAATTAAAGTATAACTGATTTATTTTGTCATTTTATATTATGTACTTTTATGTGATATTAATTATTTGTGAACAACTGCCATATTTTTTATTTTTTTTTCAACTGTATTAACATGTTTCATTGTGTGTGTTTTTAAATGGCATTTTAACCTGTGTGATTGTAAATAATAAATAAAAATATTAAAAAGTAAAAAAAAGAAAGAAAGGTCAGGTGTAAAAGCCTGGACCTAAAAAGAATAAAAATATAAGATTTAAAGTAATATAGATCACCAGAAAACCCTGACGGAGTGTTAACAAGCATCCACCATTCTACATCACACTGTACATGAAAATTTAAAACTTAACATATTCAAATTTTACCACGCAATTAAATGAACAAAAACTGCTGCACTTAAATTATTTAACTGAAAATCAATGTCAATAGAAATACAATAATTAAATATTTAAATTTTAAAACTTTTAGTTTATTATTCTTTACTAATTATGATTTATTATTATTTTATCACTTACTATCTATTGATTACTATTGTTCTTTATTGATCACAATATATTTTCGAAAAAGACAACTTTGTTTATCAGCCCATATTAAATTTAAAAATAATACAGTAAAGAAACTGCCTGAATTTGGATTACTATAACAATATACTTACTTCACTCTTTTCTCACAGAAAACAAGTTTACAATTTTGTTTCTTAAAATACTACCTTAAAGATGAATATTAGATTTTAAATGCTTTTTGCTGTCAAAATAATGAAACTAGTGTATTTTTCTGTTGACCATAAAAGCTGTCTACCATCAAACTATTGAAAGTTAGCAGACATCCTGTCAAAGTTGCACCAATATTTTTGCAGTTTCCAGAGATGCAATTCTATCTGCAACTCTCACGATAAAACATTTGTCAGTTTCTCTGCTCAACCCACCTAATAATCACTGCTGCAGAAGTATTCAACCCATCTAATAATCACTGCTGCAGAAGTATTCAACCCATCTAATAATCACTGCTGCAGAAGTATTCAATCCACTTTGTTTTTGCCAAAAAGGCTTTCATTAGTTTCTACTATTTTGTCAGCCCCTTTGACTTTACTAGAATCTCTATTTAGAATGCTATGAACACAAACTCCCTGCAAGTTATTGCTTCGATCTATTCTTGTTTGTTGGGCAATATGTAGCTGTTCTTTTCCCCACTCAATATGTAACTAATATCTAACTGTAAATGAATCAGAGTGTTATTATAAATGTGATTTTACAACCCCAAACTCATTCTCTCTCCCTCTCAAAATGCAAGGAAACATGCAGCAATAGCAGTTAATTTATAACATTGCTTATGAAAACAAAAAGTTTATCCAAAATTAAATAGGGATACATTAAACAAAAGTGCAAATGTCATGAGTATATTGTGATCTCATGCTTATGCATAATTGACACTATTATGCTTAAGCTGCTTGGTGACAGTTTTATGGTTGATGGGATAATATGTAAATACCAAAAGACACTATGCAGTGATTATTAAAATTAATAGTTAATTTCAAAATTTTATAACTAAAATAACTACTATAAAAGTTGCATCACTTATTCACTCTAGGACACAACATTTTCCTCAATAAAAAGAAATCTCTTTCCTGGATTAAATTTGGCACTATTTACAACAAAATCAATTTTTCCCAAAGTCAAAAACTTTATCTATATTAATAAAATGTAAACATCAACCTGTAAACTTGAAAAAATTCTCATGAAGGAAATCTACTAATAATATGAAAATTATTAATTCTATAAAGTAATCTCTCAGAAATATATTAGAAAGCATGAATGAGGTATTTCTCCCGCCTTCTTAGCATGCCTTCGTGGTATAGCGGTCTCCATGCTGAGCGCGTATACTTACTATTGTCAGCTCTGCCTTAGTTCTATTCCAGCTTAAGCCATCTTGCTAGCTGATCTTTAAATACCCATCATTAATTACTTGAGCCAAGTCTTAGATGAAGTTACCTAAATTTGAATTTAACTTCCAGTCTTATGATATTTTAAATACCCGCAAGAAGTGGAATTATATTTTGTAACACAAGTTGTGCCTTCAGTTCAGTTAAATACTTTGATAAAAAGGTTATTTTTCTTCTTATTATTTTTATCATTGCTTCAGACTAAAGCAATAATACACTTTTCAGTCTACTAGGGTTTGAAAGACAATTTGGGTTCCTATAGAAACAGAAACCTATAAACATTCATAGATAATCTGTTTAGAACAGCGATATCATGTGGAAGATTTCCTAAAGAAACTGCTTTCTATTACACAGGCAAGTGTCATGAAAACACCATATAATCAGCTCTTAATAAGTTTATGCAGCTAACTCATTCAACAGACAAGAATTTAATTGCAGATGAAATAAAAATGATCCAAACTTACCATTAATTGCCTTATTAAAATATTAGACAAAGAAATGCAAATATGGTCAAAAGTCTGTAAGTCGGGACTTCGGCGATTTCGGATTATCGGTTTTTCCGGATTATAGATCATCAATTTAAATCTGGTAAGATGGCATGCAGAAATTATAAAATTAAAAACATGAACCGTAATTTATGAAATAAAGAGCAATTATGATCTAAAGGGTATCAAAATTTACAAAAAAAAAAAAAAAAAAAAAAAAAAGCTTAACATTTATTTATTTACTTTATTAAACATTTCTTTCAACGCGCGCATGCATAAAGCATACATCACGCATAGTTGAAATTAGAAAGTTGCAACCAGAAAACTATTTGATGTGTATTCGTGATATTTATAATGACGAGGAATTTGATTTAAATCATATCTAAATAAGACAGATTACATCGAGATGAAATACTACATTTAGTAAGGAATTATAAGCCGAGTAAAATAAAAACATCTGCCCTGAAGATAAGGATAGTGCTGACAGATCAACTTCCAGTTCATTGTGCACGCTGCTACGTCCCCCCCCCTCGCAGAGCAGCATGAAATTGATAAGAAGATTTCGGAATGGTTAGAGAAACAAAGAATATCCCTTTATCGATTTTTTTTTGACGGACATCAAAACATGCTTTCACTTTGTAGATCCTTTGGCAGCTACAGAATCGGAAATTCTTTTTGATATAATCGAAAGTTCAAGCTTACTTTTATAAAATTGCTCTAACAGTCTGCAAAAAATAATAAGTCGGATCCAATTCAAAGATTAAGGAACAATGCAATCTGCAACATTAACTGAAATAGATAATTAGATAATTTTAGTTAGCTTATACTGTCCATTATACATTAAACATGCATGCATAAATGCAAATTTCTGCACGCATGTAGCTTTGAGGTCTGGATTATAGATCATTCCGGATTATGGACGTCCAGATTAAAGACTTTTGACTGTAATCAAATTATCAGATGTATGAAAACATCTTTGTCTGATGATGATGATAATAAGTAAATATGAATAAACAACTTAAGCATTATTTATCAGAAGCTTAAATGATGATGTCAAAATGCTCAAAAATAAAACCAATCAACTAAATGATAAAATTAAACCTTAAAGAAAATCATAAAAAACGCATTTATCTTAACAAAACAATTTATACTTACATCATCAACAGCACATATGGTATTTCCAAGAACTAACATGCCTACAGCTGATGCTTTCAAGCTCGGTCGACTGCGAACATTATGCCCAGATGCTCCACATTTCACAACATGATAAACACCAGGTCCTGTAATAAATTTTGATACTGAAATGCAGCACAACTATATACATAAATAAATAAATAAATAAATAAATATATAAAGACATAATCTCCATGATATAGAATGAACCTCGAACTGCAGAAAATTTCTCTCTTTGAACGTCTTCCCCAGGCTTCTTTTTCACTCCTTTTTCTTTGAAAAATTCAGTCAGCATGGATTTGGGCTCCTAAAAATAAAACAGTAAAACATCATTCTGTCCAGAAATTCAACTGGCTATGTGTATAAATTAAAGTGTTTATATCCTGCTAAAAATATTTAGTGAAACTTTGGTACACTAATGTCTCAATTAACAGATAAAATAAACTGGAGCATACCTCTTCTTAAAAATGACTCTGAAGAATAGAAGGCATTTCTGCATAGTCTTCAAATAATCAATAATTACCACATCCCTAGATTTGTTCTACTCGATAAAATAAAGCAAACAACTGGATGTTATGACACTAGTCAGAAAACCTATGTGTCGCTGCTGCAATTTATGTGAAACATATATCACCTCTGAATGAATACTCATCAAGATTTATCTGTAGCAAGTTTTGTGTTTCACCTATGTTAAAAATATTAGAGGCTATACAATTGCCCATCAAAAAGGTATATTATTTCATTAATTCTTCTATGGCGTTAATATGGATAAAAAAAGGCCGCACATCAGCTTGGGTATCTCTTACTGATTGAGTGTCCACAGTGATATAGATTACAAACTAAGTAACTGCTATTCATCAATGATATCCTTTTAGCATTCATAATGATCCGGCCCACCAGCGGCTGAGCGGTAAAGTCGCTGAACACTGGTAGTTCGGTCCGCGAACGGGCTGGCTGCATGGGCGTTTTCATGGTTTTCCCCATGTGTAATGTGTATACGAGCCAGCTTCCCTTAGAAAGTCCTCCACGAAGGCATCCCTCCCCTTAGGCAGATAGCCCTCATGTGCTTTGCCATAGTTAAATACACACATCATAATGATCCAGTTGGCTTGATATTGTGTGGGAAGGAAGTAAAGGGTCTTTCTTAATCATGATTTGTAGTGGTATGGGCTTATGTTCTTTACTAAAGAAGAAATGAAACCTTGTGATAAATTTCATCTGTAGAATATATCAAGAAATTCAAGGATAACAATATTAATCTAAATGTGAATTCTAATTTCTCTGTCTTAAATCATATTCATAATATTTATAATAATTATGTTTGTATTATATGCATTTTAGGCTTTATCTGTGGATTTAGAGCCAGTTATAAGAGGAAAGTTATAAACAGTTCTGTAACTGCGCAAGAATTGAATGATGCTGAAAAAAATCATCATTAGGTATATATAATCATAATATTTTTTGCAAGGACATTCTCTATTTGCAAAATAAGAATTGTGTTCCTTCCAAAAGTTAGCTAAAATTTCTCTGTGTCCATTTTTAAAGAGGAATCCTTTCTAAGAGTAGGACTCGAACTTACAAATAGTAATTTTAAATATAATACAAAATTTCCTTATGTAATGCCAAAATATGTATGTACTAATTTAATTTTTGAGTACTGTTACATTAAATATTAAATCTTTGTCTAGAGGCTTTATTGCATAAGGTTTGCTTTAAATTTTAGGTTCTCAATGAATAGCTATAAACGTTATCGATAGGAAATATAGCTAAAAAAGTTGTAAATGAATACATAGCATGTGTTAAGGTTAAACCAATTATATGTGAGCAACTGAGGGGCCATTTATCTAGTGAAAGAGTTAACTCAGACATTTAAAAGAAGATATATTAACTAAGTTAAAAGAAGATAATATTCCTCATTTATATGCTTTTTAGCGAAAATTGCAGCAGCTTTTCTTAGTAAATAAAACGAATTTATTCAGGTGAAAATATTAAATGGCATACATACATAAAGTTCTTAATTACAAATTTAAAAAAAAAATTCTACTTAAAGTAAAAATTTATTATTGAAAATGATGGAATAAATTTTTGGATAACTATTATAATTTGACATAATAAAAATTTGACTAAGTTTAGTGACAATTATAAAATTTAGAAAACCTCATTTAGATAAAACCATTAATAAGTTATTGCCTAAAAGCATGCATGCTTTGCGAGATTATTTTCATTTTAATATAACCACATATGACAAGGAACATGATGTTCTAACATATCATTAATGATCATGTAAGTAAATGATATTTTTATATACTATTACAAAATTTTAGAAGTCTTTGAATTTTTAAACTTTGTTCTCATTTTTTTCATTTGGAGCTGAAACCTATTAATCTCTTCACTCTGAGCATATCATATATGATGCACTTTTTTCAAAGACCCACCATATAAAAAGTGGTATGGTAACAAAATGTCATCAGTGGCTCAGTATATCACACTTGATATGCTAAAACAACACATTTTATTTGAAATTTTAAAAGAAAATAAATGTTGCTAGGGAAAAAAACTTATATTCATGAAGTGACTTAAAAATTAGGCTTGCTGTTCTGAGAATTATTTGCAAATTTATTCCATAAATGTAAAATCAGCAATGCTAGTCAATGTATTTAAGATGTTTCACTCAGTGAAAGTGCTTGTGATTCTTATACGTATGGTAATGGGTTATAATATGTATTTAACTTTTGAACTCTGGAGTTTTTAGCTTTGTTAACATATAGACATAATTTTAAAGTATAATCATTAACAGTAATATTGCATTCCATCTTATTTTTAGTTTTTACTTTAAATGGATCAATTAAGATTTCACACACATATATATATATATATTCAATTACTCTGTAAAAGGATCCAAATATTTTAATAAAAAGCAAATTTTATAAGAACTCCCTCCCATATCACATTTAACAATAAACAGTATTTAGGTGCAAGAGGTGCTTAAGTTCACAGCTCCAAAGTCACAGGCCCATAGGAGGATTTCATTCCCCCTATGCTAGATGTGAAAAGGTTTTGGAAGAGAAAATGGATCATAATTCAAAATTTTCAGCCACTAACTATTATTCACAGCATAAATAAATTCATATTTCAGAAATTTATAAATAGTAAACTGTGCTAATAAATTTTATCGCAGGTTATCTCAATAAAGATAAGTGCAAGAGGTGCTTAAGTTCACAGCTCCAAAGTCACAGGCCCATAGGAGGATTTCATTCCCCCTATGCTAAATGTGAAAAGGTTTTGGAAGAGAAAATGGATCATTATTCAAAATTTTCAGCCACTAACCATTATTCACAGCATAAATAAATTCATATTTCAGAAATTTATAAATAGCAAATTGTGCTAATAAATTTTATCGCAGGTTATCTCAATAAAGATAAGTTTAAAAAAATAGACAGAAAGACAAAGTAGTATCTGGAATACAACAGTCAAACAATCAATGAAGAAAAACAAAAAAGAAACAGTGAGAGAAAAATATACTAGTTTTACTTACTTCTACAGGAATCAGTAATGTCTTGCCAAGATGTTGATTATATTGCAAACACCATGCTTCTGTAAACCCATTTTGACAGTATTTTCTTACAGTTTCAGGGCTGAGACGAACCCAGACACCATCATCATTTCGAAGCTATTGGTACATCAGGTTTTTTTTTTTTAATTTTATAGAACTTAAAACCTTTTTTAAAAACTGAATTAAAATGTTTATAGAAATTAAAAATAATACAAAAACAATGCAAGTTTAAGCTGTTGTAGAAACTTTTCGGTGAATAATTTGCATGAAAAAAGATCTCTTAGATGAGCTTTTAGCAAAAAATAAATTAATCTATGTAATAAACTAAAAAACAATATTCTGAAAGAAAAATTATATCAATAATACAGTATTTTCTACTTAAACATATTTTTAGAGAATAATAGTAGGACATAATAAAATATACAAGGAAATATTTAAAATTTTAATATTTCAAATCATCTTTCATATACAGCGATTATGCTTTTAAAAAAGATTATATCAATGTTGACATTCAGATGTTAATGTAGTTTAATTAAGGAATTTGGAACAATTAAATTAGAGATTTTGAATTTTTAAATATTAAATTACTGATTCTAAAATGATTATGATTTGATTATACTATTCATAAATTTATTTATTGCATAAAAATAAAAAAGAAATGGAAATTTAACAAGGTTTTAAACTTGATTTGATATCCTGCAAGTGAATATACATTTTGAAAGAATATATTTCAAAACAAATATATGATGGTTATAAATCAATGATTCTTCTTTAAGAAAGTATTTATTTTAGATCTTTCAGATCAACTTAGATAAAAACACCTGTATATTACATAAATTTTATTGAACACATATAAGGTTATGAACAGAAAAAGGGTAACTTTAATGTGAATATCAGTAGTAATTATAAAATATCATTTGCAATAAAGAACAAAATGCAGTATTTCATTAACCCTCTAGGGGTTATGGACGTAAAATTCGATATAGAAGGGTGACTTTCTTATTCGTTACACATGAAAATTTCTGTCAACTTTTAATGTATTCAATTTCAGGCTGGATGTATACTAGAAGTAAAGGAATCAAGGTACAAAGTGAGAAAGTTGTTTTTTAATTATAGTCAAGAAAATACCGTTTATTCATGACATTTTGAAGGACTTTGAAATTTCAAGTCTAACCCGTTATGTTCAAAGGGTTAAAGTGTACAATAATGTCACTCAAAGTGTATGAATAAAAATAAAGGTTGTGAATATGTGGCACATACTATATCACTATTGAATTAAAAGAGTTCCTGCATATAACAAAAACTGCATATAGATAGTCAATCATGAAAAATTTGAGCATCTAGTGATAAAAGAATAAATTCAAGAACGGATATATAAAGACAAAGAAAAAAATGGTTCTCATTCTAATCAACAATGATATTACTGCAGAGATAAAAAGGACAGAAATTAAATTTGTGAAATAGCAAACATCAACTAGCAACATTTTGAGCCCAGCACCCTAATAAACAAAGCATTACAAATAGCTGGCATAAATTATAAATTAGCATTGAAGTTACACAGGATATCTAAAATATTGTGATAACGTTACATGCATACTTTGGGAAAAAAGAAAGAAAAAAAAATGCAAGGTAAAAATAATCTCAATTTACTGCTTCATTCAGATACATGCAATTTATAAATCTCATAACATCATTTCCAGATAAATGAAAGCAATAACTTCTAGAGATGATATCTTTCTCTGGTATTTTATACAAGTGTGATTCAAGTGAAGACCTTAATTATTTATTATAGGTCAAATAAGGAAACACAGAAAAATCTATCAAATATATATATACACTCATGTCCATAAATTAAGGATAATTCAGAGTCACACGAAAATCGAACTCTAAAATAAATATATCACCTGTAAAATCACTACATACATCTTCAAGAATCATATGCAAATTTCAGGAAGTAACCAGATGACACCGATGGTACGTCACAATGACGAGAGTGTAAGAGAGTGATATATAAGGAATACAGGCAAAGAAGTAAAATTGTTCGCAGGTGCTTTATAAGCATTTCAGTGCAAAAACTGAATAGTTATGACACAAAGGACGCATTTGGATGATTTTTTACGTGGTAGAATAATCGGCTGTCTGGAATAGGGGCGTATCCAACTGGAAAAATCAGATGAACTTGGAATTGCCCAGAGTGTCATCTCCAGGCTTTGGCAACAATTCCAAGATGATGGTAATGTGAGTAGACGTTACAGCACAGGTCGCCCCAGAGTTACAACGCCGAATGAGGACTGGTATTTGGCAGTAACTGCCAAAAGAAACAGGTGGAGCACAGCCTCAGACCTGTCTCATCAGCTCTCTTCAGCCACTGGTACGACAATTTCAAGGCAGACCGTGTACAGAAGCTTAGGGCAGATTGGTCTATATGCTCGTAACCTGTCAGATGCGTTCCACTTTCTGCAACTCACTGTCGTCTGCGGTTAGCTGGGAGTAGAGAGCATGCATTGTGGACATCGCAACAGTGGACTTGTGTGATGTTTCCCGACGAGTCCAGATTTAGCTTGCAGTCTGATTCTCGCCGGACTTTCATATGGAGAGCTCCAGGTACCCGTTACCACAAAGAAAACATCGTTGAACGACACCGTTACGGTGGTGCAGGAGTCCTCATTTGGGCTGGAATTATTCTGGGTTCCAGAACTGACCTGCATGTTCAAATTGGAACCATGACAAGCCAAATCTATCGGGACGTCACTTCTGGAACAACATATACGTTTGTTTCGGGGCGCCATGGGCGCACAATTTATGTTTATGGATGACAATGCCCGTCCTCACCGTGCAAACATCGTAAGCGAATGCCTTCAATCGGAGGATATCACCCGTATGGACTGCCCAGCATTCTCACCGGACTTGAACCCAGTACAGAAGTATGGGACATGCTTGGCCGACGAGTTGCAGCCCATCAACCCCCTCCTACGTGTTTACCGGAACTTCGGAGAGCATTGCTTTTTGAGTGGTGTAATATCCCCCAAGATCAGATTGATAATTTGATACTCAGCATGCCTAGGCGTTGTACAGACTGTTTTGCACCGTTTGAAGCATACAATATATTAACAATCATACCAACCATGTAATATTGATTTTTTGTAAATAGGTGTTTTTTTTGTAATTTGCTCCAGAGAGAAAAAATCGCTAATTTTTTTAATAATATCAAACATACAGTAGCATCTTTTTTTGCTCTTTACCTTTTTTTTTAATAAATAAGCTTTACAAATAACTCAAATTTGTTTTGCTTCTAACTCTTCCTTTGCCTGATTTTGCATTATCCTTAATTTATGGACATGAGTGTATATAATTTTCTGCCATAGTTCTCATGATGTACAATGCATGTATTCCAGCATTCCATAAATGTATGGATATTCAATGTGAAGAATTCTTTTGGTTGTGACTATAACTATTCATGCACCATTGTTTTTATCTGCTTGGAAATGATTGCCCCCCACTATCTCTCTCAGCCATCAGAATGCAAGAAATTCACTGGGAGTGATGTCTAGAGAATTAGATGGATGTGTGAGACATTCAGATTTCATCTTTTGGATTGTGGGAATCATTGAACAAGGATGGCAGTAACAATACACCTGAAATTAAAAGCCTATCATTTATTGCACTGGATTGAAAGATAAAGATGATTTCAGAGAAAACCTTTAATAATAATTAAAAAAAAAAAAAAAAAAAAAAAAAAAACTGATGATTTTATTTCCTTTTTCATGCAACATTCCAAAATTATGAAATTTGCAACCTTGAAAGCAGGCATAACTTTTACTATGACTCTGGTTTTCAAATTTCCTACAATGCTCACACACTTTCTGCAGTTCCTACAATGCATATGAATTACAATACCCTACTTTCATTCAGCAAGAAATTAGTTTTATACCTTCACTAGTCAAAAAGTGGGTAACTAATTCCTGCTCTAATGCAATGCATGTCAACAATGGATAAGCAATATCTGCACTAATTTCGATTACTTCTTTACTAATGCAGCATCATACAGTAAACTAGTGGTAATATTTTTAGCCACAAGGATAACTTCTGGCAACTTATAATTCAACCATACAGCCTTTCGAATTTTATTGCAATTTTAAAGTTTTTTAAGGTTTTTCATTTGAATCATCAATAAAGATCAAGTGACTTGAAATTCACTGACTTTTTCCTTTTATTGCCATATGTAAACAAATGTGTATCAGAAACCTTTACAACATACAAAAGTTCACTGCATGAATTCAGTTAGCTTTTGACAATATTCCAAGTCAGATAGACAATAATCCAAGAATGCAAAGCTTCTCTCATAAAGGTGAATGTTAGCAATTTAACTACTTGTTATGAAGTATACCATGTGGGGAACAGCATGAGACATTCAAGGCTCTGTATGTACTCTCAAATACTGTCTCTATAAACACCCACTTATAATACACTGGATAAAGGAAAATGATATGTAATACTTCCACTGTATGTATTGTGTTTTGTTGTCTAATATGTACATGTCTGTTATTAACATCATAGTCAAAAAAGCTCTGTTTGCTCACCACTTAGGAGATCTTTTGCATTTCAATTAAAATTACCAACAAGCACAAATGAGTTTTCTGGAAGTTCATTACTTTTGCCCATTTGCTTCTATTTATTCGGTATCTGTGTGGTTTTTCTCATATACCTGATACTGTAAGCATCTGTGTGAGTCTAACTGTGATATACTTCTGTATTTATATTTCCTTCTCTCCTGATCTACACTGGAGGCCCATGACTAATTATAAACTTTTTTCACTTTTTTTCGGGGGGGGGTGGGTATAGAAATTATGTCATGAGACTTTAAAATCTCACAAATCTTGAATGAAATGGTGTATTATAATGATTCCAGTGACATTTGGTTTATTCTACTATGCAACTTTGCCCCACTTTTTCTGGGACACCTTGTTTTAATACAGTAATGCCTAGCTAATGGAATCTTTAAGTCAAAATAAATGGACTATCTATAGCCCTTTTCAGGCTTAACAAAAACTATATCTTATTTCATTAATTCAGCATCATGCACACAAGCATGCACTATAAACTACTTTTTAACAGAG